CAGTCATTGTCGAACTGTCACTGAATAACCAGGATGAGTCCGACGAATACGCATTATTTGGAACTACCATCAAACTGGGTGATATATTGTCATAAAACATAAACATTGCATAAATAGATGAAATAAATGACTCGCACAGTTAAGCTTGGAATAAATTAGAACAGAACTACTGTTAATGGAACATTGAGGCGTTTTCCACGCAGATGGAGGTCAACCATTCAGTGACTGCGTACTAAACTAATCATGGAATATTAGCCAGAAAGGAAGGATAGAATGTTTTGGATCGATTTCTATACAAACTGGAGCGGAATAATTATGTATAACATCTATAAATTCGTAACCCAGAATTACTCATTAAATTGGGACAAATCACATAGATCAATAAATATATAGAAATTATCAACATCAAAACACACCTATGGCTTATTATGGTTTCAACGATAGTTTTTTCAGATCCTTATTGATACATTTGTGATGTTTTGCTTACAGGGTTCCAATAGCCTGTAACTATATCCATTTCAAGTGTCGTAATGAGGGAGTCTACCAGTATGCAGTGTCTTTTTCACCTCAAGTCGACAGTAAAAGTATGAGATTCAGTTTAGTAAATGCACATAGAGACACAATTGGTTTTGTTAAAGCATTTGATGGTGCTATATTATATTTACCAATTAAACTTGAAGAAGCAGTAAGTATCTTAATTCTTCTAGGTATTCAGGACTGTCAGCTTGTGTGTTACAAGGGTTCTTTCAATAAGAAATAAGAAAAAAATAGTGTAGTGGGTGTTGCATTAGAAGAAAAAAAAGTTGTTTTTATAATTGGTGTTGTATTCTCTGATGTGGACACTTTCACCGCCTGGCAACCATCACCGGTGAAAACAAAGGTTGAAACTGTACGTGACCTGAACAGTGTAACAAGACTATACTGGATGTGAAACTTAGTTCATGATTGGCTTAAAGTTCAGTTTGTACTTCTGTATTGTTTATAAATACCTGTACATTATATGTTTTTATCATTTCTGAATATTCATTACAGACTACAATATTCAAGTCTGAACGACCAACTGATGGTGTGGAAATAATTATCAAAATAGTATTGACTAAAATACTACCACCACAGCAGTGTATACAGCCATATAATGTTATCTTACGAAAGTGAGTACTATTTCATGTGTGGCTGTGTATTTCAAATGTAAATAATTAATACAATTTTTAATCCTATGAGTATTGTACACTTCGAAACAATGAATTATAGTTTGATATTACAAGCATAGAATTTAATTTCAAATTTGTAGACCCCATAAAATCAAATATAGTGCTACTTTTGATATGCATATTTTCAAAAGCTGAATGCAAGTCCCGGCACATGGCTAATAATCTTTTGAGGTATATTGCAATGAGCTAAAAAAAATTGGTAGAGAGAAAACAGTTGTCATGTTCAGTTCATTTCTGATTCATCAGATTCAAGTGGATTCATGCCTGGTTTGAATACAAAAAGTAATCGAATGCATGTTCAATCACATTCTAGTGTTTTATCAAAGCTGTTTGTTTTTAGAATAACAAGTTATTTTTATATTAGACAATGTTCAAAAAAAAATATAACACAAGTCTCAAAACAGATGCACAAAGATACTAAATGGTTGATGTTTAGTTTTTCTGTCGGATAAGTTTGGTTATGATGTGAAATACTGAGAAGTATCATTCCAGCTAAGCTTTACCTACATGCCTTTTTATTTTATACAGGATAATGAGAATTCTTGATATGAAACAAGTAGCACGGCATTATTTTGATCCACATAAAGCAGTCTCTGTACCACAACACAAGTGAGTGTTTTATTTTAAGAATAAAATAAACATGTTGGATTTTTCTTGTGCACTGATACATGCATGAACAATATAATTATCTTTGTGCTGCACCAGTTGTCCATATATCACATGGTCATTCTCATGATGAATTGGCTACTCGTCCAGTCTATTGGATAAAAACTGCTGTTGTTGAACTTGAGATTGTCTGAGGTCATTCGATTAATTTCAAAGCCAGAACTTGTGAGATTTTGTGATGATATGATGTCACATGGAGTATCATATAAAGCATTTAGGAAATGGTATCTAAAATGTGAAGGACTTCTTGGCCATCCTTTAAAAACAGTATTATTTTAGTTCATAGTCAAAATTGAATATTTCATAATTTTACTT